TCAAAAAAAAAAAAAAAAAAAAAAAAAAAAAAGAGTATGTTTTCTTGTATTACTTTTTAAATCTTCAAATCTTCATAAAGAATTTACCGGCAAGAGAAATGGTCCTATTTCTATTGAAAATATATCTTAATCTGATGCACTAAAATACCTACCAACAGGCCTGGTGCTGTGGCTCATGCCTGTAATCCCAGCACTTTGGGAGGCCGAGGCAGGCAGATCACAAGGTCAGGAGTTCGAGACCAGCCTGATCAACATGGTGTAACCCCATCTCTACTAAAAATATTTTTAAAATTAGCCAGGCATGGTAGCACATACCTGTAATCCCAGCTATTCAAGAGGCTAAGGCAGAAGAATCGCTTGAACCTGGGAGGTGGAGGTTGCAGTGAGCCAAGATTATACCACTGTACTCCAGCCTGGGCAATAGAGTGAGACTCCGTCTCAAAACAAAAAGGAAAACTACGAACAACTATTGAAAGAAAAAAAGTTTCTGTTCTTTGCTATAAAATTCCATTTCCGGAAACCTATCCTGAAAGAAATAAGCAGAGATGGACAAAATTATATTGTAAAAACTGCCTTTATTTTGAGGTGTTGCCTTTAATAAGAAATAAACTGGCAAGAAACTCAATGTCCAACAACAGAAAATAAAGACTGGACATCTTCATGATGAACTGTTGGTAGGTATTTTAGTGCATCAGATTAAGATATATTTTCAATAGAAATAGGACCATTTCTCTTGCCGGTAAATTCTTTATGAAGATTTGAAGATTTAAAAAGTAATACAAGAAAACATACTCTTTTTTTTTTTTTTTTTTTTTTTTTTGAGACAGAGTCTTGCTTCATTGCCAGGCACCAGGCTGGAGTGCAGTGGTGCGATCTCGGCTCACTGCAACCTCTGCCTCCCGGGTTCAAGCAATTCTCCTGCCTCAGCCTCCCGAGTAGCTGGGACTACAGGCACGCACCAGCACACCCAGCTAATTTTTGTATGGGGTGATGCTATTAAAAATAGTTTTGAAATGTCAGCAACCACAAGGGAAATGCTCATTACGTGTTTCTAGGTTTACGAAACAACAAATAAGCCGAAGTATTCATGCACGTAAATGCTGGTGTATGCATCTCTCCTCGGGACCCACCGGCATACAAAAAGAATTTAGAAAGAGTAGATATCTTTGGATAGAGGTTTCAGGGATTAGGGTGGGTGGGGTGGGCTGGGCAGAAAACTTTTACTTTTCATTTTATATCTTTATAAGTTATTTCAATGTTTACCATATGTTACTTTTATTGCATTTTACTTTTTCAACTATTTATTTATTTTTAATTTAAAATAGAGAATGTGTCTCACTCTGTCACCCAGGCTGGAGTGCAGTGGTGCAATCATAGCTCACTGCAGCCTCCAACTCCTGGGCTCAAGCTGTCTTCCACCATGCCTGGATTGCTTGCTTTCTTTCTCTTTCTCTCTCTCTTTTCTTTCTTTTCTTTTTTCTTTTCTTTCTTTCCTTCCTTCTTTCTTTCTCTTTCTTTCCCCTTCCTTCCTTCCTTTCCTTCTTTCTTTCAAGACAGAGTACAGTAGCATGATCTCGGCTCACTGCAACCTTTGTCTCCTGAGTTCAAGTGATTCTCCTCCTTCAGCCTCCCAGGCAGCTGGGATAACAGGTGCCCACCACCACGTCTCGCTAATTGTTGTATTTTTAGTAGAGATGGGGTTTTGCTATGTTGGCCAGGCTGGTCTTGAACTCTTGCCCTGAGATGATCTGCCTGTCTTGGCCTCCCAAAGTGCTGGGATTACAGGTGTAAGCCACCATGCCAGATTTATTTTTTATAATAAGTATATTCTAAAGCTTTATGTATATTATGTATATTAACCAATATACATATTAACATTTATGTATATTAAGCAATCTATGTTTTCAGAATAACATTTCATTTTATAATAATAAAATACACCCAAATGTTTTCTGCAATGCAGAATTACAGACATTGCTTTCTCTTTATAATTTTTCTGTATTTGCCAAGTTTTCTACCATAAACACATAATTTTATTATCATAAAAAGCCTCCTTTTAAAAGCTTTAAGGTATATCATTAGTAAGAGGATATACTTTCTCTAATAAGAATTTGGGTTTCACCACCAGTCATGTCCTGCCTCAGACCCACTCAAAGAGTCATACTGTCATGAGTAGAGGGGATAGAAGGGCCCCATGATACTCATTACAAGAGGTTACCAAAAGAGTAGACCTGATAAGGTTTGACTCTATATCTCCACCCAAATCTTACCTTGAATTGTAATAATCCCCATGTGTTATAGGAGGGACCCGGTAGGAGGTAACTGAATGACGGGGGCAGATCTTTCTCATGCTGTTCTTACATAGTAAATAAGTCTCATGAGAGCTGATGGTTTCATAAAGGGGAGTTCCCCTGCACATACCCTCTTGCCTGCTGCCATGTAAGACATGACTTTGCTCCTCATTTACCTACTGCCATGATTGTGAGGCCTCCCCAGCCAGGTGGAACTGTGAGTCCATTAGACCCCTTTCCTTTCTTTGTAAACTACCCAGTCTCAAGTATGTCTTTATTAGAAGCAAGAGAACAGACTAATACAAGATTCAAACCCTACTGGCTTAGCCAAGAGGCTCAGCTGAAGCCACAGCCCTCAGCCCTAGACCCTTGAGATACAAGGGGCCCCTGACCAGTGGCATCCCAGAATTAAACAGAGCAAGAATCTCTCTGTCACCCTGGGCAATACACTAGACAGAGGCTATCAGACAGATAAAAAGAGGAACCCTGTACCCCTGAAGTTGATCTGATAACCAGCGAGAGGTCACATCTGATATGTGCAATGCCCTGCAGGGGTCGCAAAGATGACTTTGACCTGGACCCTGTCTTCAAAAGAGAGTGCAGTCCAGGTGAGTAGGTGAGAAGGCATGCATGTACCAACTCAAATCCCAGGCAGAAAGTAACCAGAGCCCTAACAACAGCAGTATGGATATAGGGCAGTTGAAGTTCAGAGGATGGGAGCTCACTTCCAGCCTAGGGTGCGAGGACAGCTTCCAAAAGAGGTGATGCACAAACTGGGTTTGAAGTCTAGGTGCATTCAAATACAGGCCAAGTGTGTCCCTGCCCAGAAATAGACAGTCTATGCAACACGTGAGCCACATGTTCGAGCACCTGCCCTACCTGCTTTATGGGCAAGGCTGCCAGCTGCAGTCATATCAGGGCATCTGTGTTTCTAAGGACCTGGGTGCCTGGAAGTCTTTTCTCTCCAAGGCATGTATCTCAATTACAAACCTGCAGGAAACAAAAGTGTGTGGAGAGTCACAAAACGTATTTGAAATTTACAAGACTTTCACCACAGGAAACTAGGCCTAACAAGTATTTTCCTGTGGAACACCCCTGGATTTGATTAAACTCCCCAGTCAACGTCTCTTTCCTCCTGCAAACTTTGCTAATAGCAGTGAAAATAAAAGCACAGATCCTGTATTTACTTAATGATCTTGGCCACTTTAGACATGAGATGGCATTCCAAGAGAGCAAAGTGCTTTTTAACAAAATTCAACAAGACCCTGCCCTTTCCTCCACCCTCCCACCAGAAGGAACTCTCATTCTCTGATCTTCTCGCCTGCCACAACCCCGAGGACAATCCAGGCAGTAAGACTGGCCATGCCTCCTGGTCATGTCCCAGACCTGATGTCCTCATGTGAGACCCTAGATAGGGGAGATGATCACATCTGAGTTATATTTGACAGGGAGAGTCAGGTGGGTGCCCAAAACGTGGCTGACATCCAACCAGCATTCTTTGCTAGATGGAGTAGGGGAGGCGGGGTTAACTTTTGCAAAAGTTTATTAGAGAATAAAGTAAGTTTGTTAATTAAATTGGAGCATGAAAGACATTTGGATGGTGAGGAGGAGGCGAGGTGATGATTTGTTTATAATTGACAAGGTTGTATCTAGCTACCGGGATAGTAATTATACACTTTATAAATATGCAAAAAAAATTCCTTTCAAACAACAGGGGTTTAAGGGAAAATCCTGTTAGGGAAGTTTCTGTCTGCCCATGAAAATGACACCACCTCAAGAGCTGCTGGCCACTTGGCTTCTGTCAATCACAGCTGTAAGTTGGGGACTGAATAATCTCTAAATACCCTTCTAAAAATGAGGCCTTTTCCTGGAATAAGTACTTAGCCTCCATCTGCTTCTGATGATGTTTTCTTATCTCAATTCAGGGACAGGAGGGATCCTTCCTCTTGTGTCTGATTCGCTGTTTTTGTTTTTACTGATTCATATTTAAGTTTCAGCTCTTGGATCCTCCCTAATCAAGATGCTGAGAAAGATGCTGCACAACGCAGCATCTCAATTAAGGGTGGGCAGATGTGAATTCAGATCCTAAATTTGGGAAAGTTCCTCCATCTCACCTGGAAAACAGGGATGGGAGCACCTAGTTGACGGGGCTGCTATAAGGACAGAACCTGGTGCAAAGGCAAGCCTGGTACCCAGTTAACACTCATTATCATGCCTCTTAGGTTAAGTCATGGTAAAGGAAACCTTCCAGGTTAACTTCAGGCCCCTGATAATTGGGGATTTCAGACTGACCTGTTTGCATAGAGTCTAGCTTGGCCCTGTGACCAGCGTTTGCCTCTTTAAGAGCTCCTAAGCACTCAGTTTAACAATCCCAATCCAATCAAGGTTATTTCCAG